CCCCCCCCCTTCCAAAAAAAACACCTACATTTTCCAAAATTACTCATTTCTGTATTTCTTACATACTTGTACACTACCTCGCATCATTTCGTCCACTCTGCTACCAAATGCATTCGCGTTCATCGATGAATCTCATCCGCGCACGCATTTGGAGAATTTTCGACAAAAATTCGCTGGAAAAGGAATCTCGAAGCTCGATGATGTCAGACGGGGAAAATCGAAAATTTGTTTCGATCGTTAATTAGTCAGATAGCCGCTCAATTCTTCGTCGGATCGTCTGAAATCGGCGATGTAGCTGCAACTGTGCACGGTGTGAGGCGTCCTCTCCTTTGGGCTGAGAATTGAACGCAGATTCCCCTCCCCGTAATTCAAACCCAACGACATCTCTCTTCTTAATTCCGCGCATCTGCCGATCCTGTAGTCCATGTCGATCTCTCGCCCGCGTCGATTTTTCGTGAACAAAAGCTCCAGGCTGTAAATAACGCTGACCAACTCCTCCTCCAGTTGTGGGTCGCAGGAAAACGAGACCATGCCTGGCTCGCAACCGGGAGCGCCTGCTCGAATTCATGAATAATCATGCGTTAATGGATTCGTGGCTCGAGTCGATAATTCATCGTCTATCGACGCTTTTTCTTTCTCCTGCTCGTTTTTGCCGAGCCGGCCGATCGCGTTCCAGCGGCTGACGAAATTTTTTATACGCGTCAATATATTCTTTGTTCGCGAAAGATGATTGGAAGTATTATATACAGGATTTCTATGACATTCGTTTGATAAATAAAAAAAGTTGAAATAGATGAAATGTTGTATGAGTAACAGAATTACTCAGCAGACTTGTTAGTAAATTGTTCAACGACGAGAGTTGCAAGATCTTTCGAGTTGCGAAATGTGCATATCTGGAAGGTGCATCGAATTCTTTCCAACTTGAAGGATATTCCAATTTAGAATTAAGAAACTTTCTAGTTTAAAAAAAAAAAAAAAACAAAAGAAAAAAAAATGAATTTTACATCCGTGGTGAATTAACCTTGAGTGTCTTGTAGAGTCTCCCAGCGAATTAACGCCTCTTGCAGTGGTTTGTATAGCTGCCGCCTGTTAGGACAGCACCAGTTGGCCACTTTCGCGTCCAATTGTATTCTGTCTTCGGTGGCTAGCTGACTCCAACTTAGAAACAGCTGCTTCAGTCGCGGCACTGTCATAGAATCCCATCATAAATACGCATCTATCAGTCATCGATATAGAGTCAGTAATCTAATGAATGATCAAACGTTGGAACGTTCAAACTTTCCAGTCATGCAGGATGAACAGAACTCCATTTATTCGAATGCATCCGTTTTCTCTCGAATTTACGTGTGGATATTTTTACAAATCGCGAGTGAGTTTTCGCAATGGAATTTTACAAAATTACATGCTACTATCTGAAAGTGATCTGTAATTTCTAAATTTCTTTATTTACCAGCGTATCAATGTACGAGAAAATGAAATTAAATAAAAAAAAAAAAAAATGTGAAGCTTGCGGAGTTGACAAGTTTAATTTTCGCGAAGCTCAACTTTCAATCAAATAAAATCATAATCTTTTATATGATTAGAAAAAAAGGAAATAATGTTTCTTCTTTGAAATTTCTGTTTCTATCTTTCTTTCTCTCTTTCTATCAATGGAGCGCTGTACTTTGAAAAATTCGTGGTTCTCTGTTTCGTTTTCACCAAGGAACTTCGAGCGAGCGCAGACCTTCAGGTATCAGAACGAATATCGTGTCGCATATCTGCTCGAAAACAGACTCTTCCATCGATTCATCGGCGTCGTTCTCGTGGCTGACGGTGATCGTGGATTTAGATTGCATCGCGCATTTTCAGCCCCGAGGGAATTCCTGTCATTTTGTGGCCACGATACGCCAGTCAAACGAGAGAGAAAGAAAAAAAAAAAACGAAACGTAGCCACGATCGTGGACAACTTCGTGGAAAAACGAGCCACGATCGTTATCATCTAGTTTTTTAACACGGTGCTTTGCCAATCGAGGGAATTTTTATTGACAATTGATTGGCAACTCGATTAAGTCGATTAATAACTCCCGTGGGAAATTTATGAAGAATTTCAATTCACTTTCGTATGCTAGGAAAATAAATTTTTCTCTCGATACATGTTAGAAATATTACAATTAGGAAAGTTTTTTTTTTTTTGATTCGCTGTATGCTACATTACCTGAAGAAATTAGGAAATTTATAAAAAAAGAATATTAATATTTAATACTTTAAGAATTCCTTGTCTGCTGTCAG